TTTTAGAATTTAAACGCAGAGGAATAAAAAGAAAGGTAGAATATGAATGTTTCGAAATTTTTGTTTCGAGTATATTACGTAAAAGCTAGAAGAACTTTTCCTGTTTACGTTCTCGCCGTTTTACGTGACATATTTGTTTTATAAGGTTTTAAATTGTTGTTCATTGTTAACAATACACTGTAGGAAAGTACCGAAAGTAGTATCCGATACTGTTTTTTCATTTAAAGGTTGCCATAATTCTGACACAACCCGTATAATTCCATGGAAACGTATTTCGTTCACGCCTCAAGATAAAATGCAGAGAGAAACCTTCCTTCCAGGCTTACAGATCGTCGACACTTTACAAGATAATCGTGAAACATGTGTACACGTATATTCTATATAAAATACATATTGTAAATATACACATATACAAATATTAACCAAGGAGCGCGTTTGATTCCTTGACGTTGTGTTGTATATTAAGCAACGAAGTTTCTAAGGTAATCGTTGCGTTGCAGGAAAAACGATGCTGTCGTCTTCTTTTTTTTTTTAATGTAAAACATTAAAAATGTATACATCTCTGCGTACCGTGCTACGAAGCAAAAAGGAGGAGAGATGAGAAAATTTCTACCTTAATTGAAAGTTCTAAGACTTAATATGAAGTCTTGATAAAATTAGAATCTGTCAAAGAAAAGAGAATCTGGTCAATTTTCAGAGGAAATATTTTTTCATGAAACAAATGGAAAAAAAATGAAATCGTTTCGGATAGAATAAAATAAAAAAGAAAAAATCTTACTTATGGCAGGATGATCACGGTTCTTGTCGTCGTAGAATGTAAACGTAAAATCGATATAACCGCTGTAATCGTTTCAGTTCTGATTCCGGAAAAGATTCCTTTTCCGAGAGGAGGCTGTTTTCGTCGATCAATCGCTTCGTATTGTACAAAACTTTCGAATTTATTCAAAGTAACATTCTAAATAAAGTCTTTTCCAATAATTCATCCAATCATTTTTATTCCTTAACATCGACAATCGTCTTATTCGATTCGTTGACACTTTGACTGTCACGTTGGTCGTTGGTGACCGGAGCGTTTGAACTTTTTACGATAGCGCTTGAACTTTTTACTATTGTAAAAATTGAATGAAAATTGACAGTCAGGGCATTTTGAATATAACCGATAAATAGAAGATACTTTGAAATAAAAAGTGCCCCATTGAGCGATTAAACATTTTTATCAGAACATCGATAAAAAAGAAAATGAGGACAAATCTTGCATCTAACGGTACACTGTGTTTGCATCCACATCTTTGAGGGGTAATCTACGAATATTATTATAAACACAGCTTAGAAAATAATCGTAAACGCTGCTTTATGATCGTATAATATAATTCAAGTTAGAAGTGTGAACATACCTTACTATTATATACAGGGTGGTTGGTAACTGGTGGTACAAGCGAAACG